CACTCTATTTGAAATATACTATGTCGAATCCTAAATATTTGAAAAGAACTCTTATGTCTCGCATTATCTTAAATATACTCTAGGGTCTTTGAAATTTGTGATATCATACTCCGAAGGTAGATTCTGTCCATTTATGCATTAATGTTTAAAGTTCCTTTACTTTGACAAATTGAGATTTTTTTTAAATTTAATAATATGTTGATTCTCAAGCTAAAATTTATTAGTATTTGTCAATGTAACAAAACGTTCAATTCTAAAAGCCAAAAGGATGAAATGTACCCCTAAAGTACATTACCACTAACTTTAAAAACCCTTAGAGTACATTTCGGATAATGTCAAACCTAAAAGTTCTTACTCGAAAATAGAGGGTACCCGGAGTATATTTGAGATAATGTGAAAACCTGAGAGTTATTACAAGAAAATCAAGGGGACATTGAAGTAATTTTTTGCAATTTAAATCACCTGTTTTGGTTTAGAATATTTGACTGAAGTTATTTTTAATGTAGTTTATTAGAGAATTAGAGCGGAGTTTAAAAAATATATATATATATAGATACATACATACATACATACATAGATATATATATATATATATATATATATATATATATATATATATATATATATATATATATATAAACCACATCCATGGTCTACAAAATAAGAGGTGACACGACTATATTAATTTATCAAATGATTAATGATAATAAGTAAGGAAATAATTGAATAAACTTTGACCTTCTAAAATGTAACTATGCAACTTAATTTCGAATGGAGGGAGCATATTATTATTCTAACGGTTCACAACCCAAACTATAGGTTGTCCCTTTTATTATATGAATACTTATACTCCATCCGTCATGTAGGAAGTCTCTGTGAAGCAACGTAGCAACTTGGTATATGAATTAAAGATGTACTTGATAGACTTAACAGATAACGTAAAACACTCTTTCAGATTAAAGTTATTTTGATGTATAACAAAATGTTTGAATTTAATGAGTCGTAAGTTTCTAGAACGAGTACAGAAGTTTGTGTCTTAAAAACATAGCTTGAGGTCATCTATTTATAGGCCAAAATCTCAATAAACACGTAACTAATGAAACAACAGAACTTTTCATGCAACATTATATATATATATATATATATATATATATGTATGTATGTATGTATGTATGTATGTATGTATGTATGTATGTATGTATGTATGTATAGATACATACATACATATACATATATGTTGGAGTTGTGCCCTGATGGCCAACTATTTATCATTATTCTATCATGTATAGGCAGATATAATATGTTTACACATCTCATGTTAATGTAAACAAATATTATATTCTTAGATCTATATTTAAAGATGTTTATTAGATAATGTTTTTTTTGCTGATGAGACTAATATCTTGAAATAAATATTTATCTAAATGTCCATAGTCGAGTATTAACGAGAGTAGGATATCGTTAATGCATGTGAGACTAGTGTGTTGGATGTTTGACATAGTCTCATAGTCAATGACGGTGTGTTCGCATCCGCACATGGGTAAATATTATCTGGAGATGATAGGATGCCAGACTGACCCATCTTAAAGATGTTGCTTGAACTTTTAGTTCATGCTCTAAGAATCTTTAGCACGACCATGGATGTAACTATCCTTCGAGTTAAAGTATTAGGTTTTCTGTATATGTGAACCCGCATGCTTTGATGCATTGTCCTAAGATATATGAAATAAGGATGGTATACAAGCTTTGTTTTGGGTATGCCTGATAAGTCCGTTTTGTACGCACTTATCTTCTCTATATTTAATGTAACATTGTCCAATTTTGGATCAAACAAATCAACTTCTCAATGGTTTTTATAAGTTTTTATTCATAATTGTAAAAGTGAACAAAAGTTATGTCTTGTTGTAAAAATAATAAAAAAAAGAGTCAAAAGTGGTATAAAAGTGCAAATGGAATGCAATAAAGTAAACTCTGAAGAAAATAAATTTTTCGAAATACTTGAGCTCAAATTCGTCTGTTGCTCCAGAAGGGTAAAATGTTCAGCACAAAATAAGGAACTTGTCGTAGAAATTTGGAGTCAAAAGTCAAACGTTTTCTGGGGCTACCTCTGGGGCGGGCACCCCGGACCCATCCCCAAAGAAAAATGTCACCCGAAGCATCATTTTCCAGGTTTTGGTGAAATCGCGCGCGAAAAACTAGGGGTCGTGCCAGGGCTACCTCCCGGGCGGGCGCCCCAGACCCAGCCCCAGAATTCTAAAGCCTATATAAGGCAGATCTCCGATCTCCAATGAATATCAGCTCCTCTCCGAGACTTTTAAGGCCCGAACCTCCTCTCTAGCTCTCGTTCTCAGTTATATTTTAATATTTTAGTTTATTTTTGTTCTGGTTGTCCCAAGGTGGCCCCGACTCTGCTCTTGGTTGTAAGTTTATTTTTACAACTTTTAATAAAATGTTCTTTTATTTTATGCACTATTGATATTAGTATGGGTTAGGGCCCATATTAGGGTCCTGGCTAAATTTGGGTTTATATTCTATATGTTTATTTAATAGTTAGAATAACTGTTCTAGAATTATTTTATTGTTAAATTAATTAATTATGTCGAGAGAGAAATTAATTTACTATTGGAAATTAGTTTTTACCTTGTCCATGAGGATATAAAATTAATTAAGCCAAACTTTTTAGAACACATTAATGATACCTTGAGAGAGAATAGGTTAATGAAATATTTGTGATAGAAATATATTTATTCCAATTATTGATTAAATATGCGACAACAGTAGTTAACTCAGATGATGCCTTGGCCCAGAGTGTAGTCCTATACCCATACTATTTATTTTCTTTGTCAAAAGCACCCAGTAGTTTAGTATATTTTTATTTTCAAATCGAATCGAGAAGAATTTTAGACTCGTCCAAACCTTCGCCTAGTTAGAAAAATTAGCTAATTCCCTTCGTCCACTCCTCGAGAGACAAGACACTCGGAGAAAACTAACCCTTCATTAGGAAGGTTGACTTACCGAAAAACTCAATCATCAATTCCGTAGTGCATATTTAGAAACGTAGATTACGTACATAGGATTTGTCACTACTCTTTTAAGAGTTTAATGTCTTTTTTGGGCCCACTGATAAGTTATGACTGAAGAAATTGCATGGCCATGCTGATATGTTTTTATGACATCTATTCCTATCAGTCAGACTTGATAAATCAGTGAATGACTTAATGGATACAAGTTAGACTTTATTAATCCCTTGCATTAAGTCTAGACATTGAGACAAAGGGATTCAGTTACACGGAGTCTGAGTCGTGGAAAGATTTTGATGGTAGATACCACATTATTGATAAATATATTGTACAAAATAATATTACTTAGTAATTAAATAAATATATATTTATATATTTACTTGGTATTATTACCCAAATATTATATATATATATTTATATATTTGTATTTTAATTACATAAATGACTAATATATATTTTGGAAAGTTATATATCAGTAAGAAAAAGAGTTTTTTTTTCAAAATATTAAATTTTTACAATTTAATGTTTTTTAAATCAATTTAAATGGCCTTTTATAACTTATTGAGATTTAACTAATATATATTCGGAAATAATGATTTATAAATTTTGGAAATTTTATTTCCAGGCTTATAAATGTTGAAAATAATTATTGGAAGTTGAAATTTTATTTTCATGATTTTTTCAAAATTGTTTCAAAATTTTATTGCCTTTTTGAAAATAATTTTGCAAAAGGGCATTTTGGTCATTTGGAATACTCTGGATTTTTTTTGCTGGAAGGATATCCATTGTATATAAAATAATTTTTATAAAATTTTATTAGATTTATTTTGACATCTAATTTAATTTTATGAGTTTTAGAGTGTCTCACCTACCGTAGTATTTTTTAATTTTAATTTTAATCACATCTAATTTAATTTTATGAGTTTTGATCTCACCTACCGTATTATTTTTCTAAGAATGTCTGGGGTGAGCGCGGCTCACCGGGTGTATGTATATCTCTAATGCGTGTGTGGATGTATGATATGCATGGTGGATGATTGTGGCTATAGTTTATTTGATTATAATACGGCTTGCGTGTCGTGCCTTATCTCTTAAACCCTTGTTGTAAATCTATCTCTCTCTTACCTCAACCGAGGATTCTTTTCTGACGTGGTGGTTAGAAGACGAAAAGATTTGAAGTCCGTTTGAAGAAATCTAAAGGAATGGAGTTAGCCTGAAGTCCAAGTGCTCAGAAGTCAGTGGGAGCTATCATTTTATTTTTCTTTTTGGGGCCACAATCATTACGCGTTTATTTACTGCGTTTTGTGAATGCATGTTGAATGTATGTTGAACGCTAGTAATGGACATGTGCAAGGCCATGACGATAGGTGAGATCAAAATTTTAAATCCCTCATGAATATTAAGTTTGTTGCCTTCTAGAGCCTGGAACCTATCCGGCTAATGTGCACTGTCATGTATTCAGCCTCAACAGAGCATAGTATGGTGTATGTTAAGCTGGTTATGGGAATCGCCAGAGCATGGTCCCTGTTGCACGTTGGGTTAGACTTAACCGAGTCTTGGTCAATTGGATGGACGACCCAGAGGCAGTAAGTTGGGGTCATTGGGGTCATTAATGACAAGTCGGATGATTTTACTCACTCATCCAGCCAGGAGTTGGATCTTTATGATTTAATTGGAACTCTGTTCCTAACCAAAGTAGTCTGCTTGTAAGACGTGCCTCAACCAATTACAAGTATAGTGAAAAGGTGTCCTGGTCCGGTTGTAGTAATGTTGTTCGCCCAACACCAGCACAAGAGCTGAGAGCCTGGTTCATTAGTTGGAACTATGTTCCTACCTAAATAGTTGTCTTGTGGAGTAACGCCCAAGCGGAACTATGTTATTGATTTGTTAAAAATAGTGGGAGATAGTTAATTAAAGGCCTAATTAATTATTAAACATGATAGATAACCTAGTTTGTAAAATTTTCTGTAAATGGCAAACAACAACAACCCTTTCAACCTGCGATATGTTCTAGAAAAGGAAAAATTATCTGGAACCAACATTCTTTATTGGGATATGAATCTTAAGATTGTTCTCGAATGCGAGAAAATGCTCTACGTCCTTACCTTTGAGCCTCCCAAAGCTCCTGAAGCGAACGCCCGTGCTGTAGAAATTACTTCGTACCGAAAATATGAAGATGACGCACGTGATGTGAGATGTCTCATGCTGGCCACCATGACCCCGGAGCTCCAAAGGCTCCACAAGGACATGGAAGCTCATGCTATGATGACTCGCTTGAAAGGTCTATACCAAGGCCAGGGTAGACATGAGCGATTCAAAATCTCTAAGACTTTGTTTTCAGTAAGCTGGCAACGGGTAACCTTGTTGGTCCCCATGTTCTCATGATGATTGGTCAAATCGAAACTCTCGAAACTCTTGAAAAACTAGACGCCCCGTTGCACCCTATGCTGGAAAGTGATCTCATCTTGGGTTCATTACCAGCCGAGTATAGTCAAACTCTAGTGAAATTCTACATTAACAAACTAGAGATGACTATGCCTGAGCTACTGAAATTCCTCACAACTGCTGAGGAGAGTCTAGGAAAGGGCAAGGGTAAGTCTGTCCTGATGGTAGAGGGCAGTACTGTTACGAAGAAGAGTGGGCCATGTTTGCCGGCCGGGACCAAGCGCAAGGGTTCTAAGAAACCCAAGCCAGCTTCCAACTCATCGTCGTTAAAACCCAAAAAATGAGCTAAGAAGGAGTCTGCTGTATGATATTATTGTGGCAAAAAAGGGCCACTTGAGGCGCAACTGCGCAAAATTACTGGCAGAGAGGAAAGAGGGAAAGAAACCTCAAACCTCAAGTATCTTCATTATTGAAGTCAATATATCTGATATCAGCTCTTGGGTGATGAATACTGGATGTGGTTCTCACATAAATACTTCTATGCAGGATCTGCATAAATGTAGACAATTGACGGAGGGAGAGATACAACTAAAAATCGGCAATGGCGCACTCATCTATGCATTAGCCGTCGGAACCAATAGTTTATATCTACCTAGTGGTCTTGTATTGCAGTTAAATAATTGTCTGTTTGTACCTAGTAGGTGCAGAAACATCATTTCAATATCCTGCCTTGACAAAGCAAGATTTTCATTCATTGTAAAAGACAAAACACTTTGTCTTTAGAAATGATATATTTTATGCAACTGCAAAAATGACCAACGGTCTCTATGCCCTTGACATGGATACCGCAATATATAACATAGATGTTAAGAGAAACAAACCTAAAAGTTTGAATCTCTCGTGCCTTTGGCATTGTTGTTGGAGCCTAAATTCGATAAAGTAATTTTTGTTAGATACCCCAAGGAAACTAGAGGGTATGAGTTCTATCATCCATCTGATAACAAAATTTTTGTTGCTCGGAATGGAACCTTCCTTGAGAAGGAGTTTCTTTCTGCTATCACTAGTGGAAAAACGGTAGACCTCGAAGAAATTTGAGAACCACAAGAAGAAGTCCCGATAGTATTGGAACCCGAGCAAAGGGATCAAACAATTGAACCTCAAATTGCTCAAGATATACCACGTAGGTCAGACCTGACACGTAATCCTCCGGTCAGATATGGATTTCTCATGTCTGATGAAGGTGACTGATAAGTAAGTTTTAGGTTGGTTCTTTTTATTCTTTTTTAGGCATTTTTAATATTTTTAGTGTTTAATTTAAAATTGTTTAGCTTAGTTTTATTTTAATTCTTATTTTTAAATTCTTTTTATTTTCCTTCAAAATTAGTAGTTTTTTAATCACTTTTTACATTTTATTGTTTTATGTTATTTTCTCTAACCCAAAATTATCAGATATCTTATTTTGGAGAAAAATATAGTAGAAGGCCAAATCAAAGTTCAAGTTTGAAAAGAAGAGGTTAAATTTGGGACAAAGCCCAAAGCCATCAACAAAAACAGCCTATCTCTCCTCCCTCATTCTAAGTCAACGAAAAAAAGAAAAAAGAAAATGTGTGCTCGATCTCTTTCTTCTTCGTCGAAGAGTAACGACGACGACCAAGCCTCCAACGTCTCTCCTTCTACCACGCTCCAACATTTAAGTCTCCAACGGGCAAAACTTCAACGGTAAAAAGCTCTATCTTGCTATAAATATTGGAATTTTTGGCATTTTAATAGGCATTAAATGGACCAACTTGGGTATATTTGTCAATTGGTCCACTAACAGTTTTAACCGTTAATTAATGGACGTGTGTTCTCTTAAATGAGATAAATGTTTTGATAATTTATACGCCAAAAATGGTAGAGGGTGAATGAGAAATTGATTCTCAGAGTTAACCCGTTTTTTAACTGAAAATGCTATATATATATATATATATATATATATATATATATATATATATATATATATATATATTAATGAAGCTAGCTTTTTATTGATTAGCGAAAGAAAGGAAGCATTACATCAGCTGTGATTGCTCCCTGAACATGTGGGGGAGCAATGAAAAAAGAAATACGAGTAAAAAGGTTATGTTGGCTGGCCCATTTGGCCAAATGATGGGCTCCCATATTTCCCTCTCGAGGTATGTAGGAGATCTTTTGACCCGAATGTGAGAAAGCATGGAGGAGACTTGTCCAAAGTTCATGGTTGACTCCCGGGTTTTTGCGACTAGAAATTGACTCGGCTAGACTTTTGCAGTCAGTGTTGGCCAAAATATATCTTCCAAAATGTGCAGCCCATTGCATGCCAATGGCTAAAGCTTTTGCCTCACCTTGTAAGGCAGTTGTTTCTTCAATCTTCCATGTTCCCGCTGCAATGAAAGTGCCATTTCCTCTGCGTAAAACTGCACTTGCCACCCCGTAATTTTGATTGACTGCTACATCTGTGGAGAGGTGTAATCCGCTGTCCGAGGTGTTGGTCCATCTATGGATTCTAAGGGTGGGGTTCCTTTGCTGCGAGAGCATAAGTTCAGGAGGAANTCATGGATGCGCCGGTTTCTTTCCTTCCAAATTTGGTGGGAGATGATTCCAGGTATGATACCTTTGAGCCATCCTTCTAGAGTTTGGTTATGGTATTCTGTCCACCATTTGTGGAGGTAGGCTCTCACACCGTGTGTTGCTTGCCACGGTATTTTGAAAATCCATTCGAAGTAGCTCCAAATGGGTTTAGCGTAGGGGCATTGAAAGAGAGTGTGATAGTCTGTGTCACTATCCCTTTTGCAGAGATGGCATATGGAAGGCAATGAAGTGATTCCAAATTTCCTCAAATGTGCAGGGAAGGGTAGCAGTTTCTGGTGAAGGCGCCACTGGAAGAAGGAGATTTTTGGAATTTGCTTCATGTTCCAGATGATTTGCATATGTTGGAGAGGTTCGACATCCTCTTCCTCTTCCTCAGGTTGGATTGCAAGGTAAGCTTCTTTGAAAGTAATTTGCCTATTTCTGAAAAAAGCTTCTTGGTCTTCTTCTCCTGCAAAAAAAAATGTTAGTGGCTTTTTCATGAATAGAGCAAATTCTTTTCCATATGGTAGAGTCAGTAATTTTTGGGGTGAAGTTGTTGTTTCTGGGATATCTCTCTCTCATAAAATGGCTCCAAGTGGAGTTGTTAGCATTAGTTCCACCAAAGTTTGAGGGTGAAGGCCTCTTGGATAGCATCCAAGGATCTGACTCCTAGACCTCCCTTGTCTTCTGTCAAGCAGATTCTATCCCAAGATGCCCAATGATAGCTATCTTTCCTTTCTGTGTGACCCCAGAGGAAGGTGCACATCTTGTTGTGAAGCAGATGGATGATAGATTTAGGGAGTTTGTTGACTGCTAGGGTTGTGTTTGAGGAGGATAAGTCTGCCACTGTGGTTGAGGAGTCTGCCCTGCCAGCCCTTCAATTTGTTGTTAAATTGATCCATGAGTGTTTGGCATTAGTGAGCTCTGTTAATCCCTCTAAATATTTGAACACCCAAATATTTGAAGGGTAGAGTACCATGGTTCATTCCAAGGGTGCTGCACATATAGTTGATTCTGTGGTTGGGAGTTTTAGGGGGGGGGGGTGAAAAAGTTGCTTTTATCCATATTGACCTTTTGACCTGAGCACCTTTCATAGTTCCTCAAAAAGCTGTGAACTTGTTTAAGATTAGGACGAGAGCCATTGGTGAAAAGAATAAGATCATCTGCAAAAGCAAGGTGGGAAATAGGATGGTAATTTCTTCCCAAGTTGTAGCCTGCAATTTTCTTGGTGAGGACAAAGTTGTTCAGAGTTCTACTGAAACCTTCTGAGGCAATGACGAAGAGAAAAGGAGATAGGGGATCTCCTTGTTTTAACCCCCTGGAAGTCTGAAAAGGTTTGGTATTCTTGCCATTGATGTTGATAGAGAGAGAGGTAGTGGCCAAGAGGCTGTGAATAAGGTGTGTGGTTTGGTTTGAGAATCCAAATCTCCTCAAGACTTCAAGTAGATAGTCCCAGGACACTCGGTCAAAAGCTTTAGACATGTCCAGCTTGATGGCCAGATTTCCCCCCCTGCATTTATTAGCAAGGCCATGGAACATTTCTTGTGCAATGAGGATCTGATCTTGAATAAGAGTGTCTTTCATGAAGCCAGCCTGTTCAGGGCTGATGATTTTTGGGTAGGAGAGGGGACAGTCTTGTAGCCAAGATCTTAGAAATGGTTTTGGCAATGAAATTGGAGAGGCAAATGGGTCTGTAGTCAGAGAATTTTGAGGGGTGTTCAGTTTTGGGAATAAGGATGATGGTGGATTGAGTGAGGCTTTTGGGAGGGGGAATGCCTAGGAAAAACTCTTGGCAAGCTTTCCACAAATCTTCTTTGATGGTATCCCAGGTTACCCTGAAAAAGTGGCCAGTGAAACCATCAGGTCCTGGAGAGCTGTCTGGGCAGAGGTCCCAGATTGCAGTTTTAACCTCTTCCATGGTGGGGAGGCTGCAAAGGGAGAGGTTGTCATTAGGGTTCAGGGTGAGGGGAATATTGTCCAGGATTTCTGGGCAAAGGTCAGTTCCCTCATGTGTGAAGAGGGTATTGAAAAAAGAGGTTGCCTCTGAAGCAATGTCATCCCACTCAGTAAGCCAATTGTTATCAGTGTTCCTGATTTTTTGAATCCTTTGAAAGTTTCTTTTGTTTTTGACAAAGGCTTGGAAAAACTTGGTGTTTAGGTCCCCCTCCTTTACCCATTTCAGATTGGATTTTTGCTTCTAGTAGGAATATTCTATGGCAAGGCATTTATTAAGATCTGATCTGGCTTGTTGCATCCTGGTGTTGTTGTCATGAAATGGGTTGTCATTGTAGGCTTCTTCAGCTAGTTTGAGTTTATCCTCCTGCTTAGTTCTGTTCTTGAGGATGTTCCCAAAGGTATTTTTGTTCCAGGCTTGAATGACTTTCCTCAAATTCACCAGCTTGTCCATTAAACCTCTCATTCCCCCTCCCCTGTAGGGTACCCAATTGTCTTTAATAAGAGTGAGGAAAGAGGGGTTGGCAGTCCAACAGTTTAGGAATTTAAAGGGAAAAGGACCCTTAAAATTACCATTAGTAATTTTGAGGAGGATTGGGAAGTGATCAGAGCCACCTTTGGCTAAGTGTTCAGAAGAGATTAGGCAGTTAAGGTTGTCCAGGTGGGAGTTGAGGAAGAGTCTGTCTAATCTCCTCCAAATCTTTCCCAGGCTTCTAGACCCATGCCAAGTAAAAGGAGAGCCAGAAAAGGGGGGCTCAATCAGACCATTTTGAGTAATGCAAGTGTCAAATTCCATAATACTAACCATGCAGGGGATGCTTTTACCCTTGTGATGAGAGAGTGAGCTGATAGCATTGAAATCCTCTCCTAGGAGCCATGGTTCATTCATAGATCCAGAGAGGGTGGAGATGCAGTGCCATAAGTCCCTTCTTTCTTCCTTTGTGTACTTTCCATAAATGGTTGAAATATGAAGTTTTGTTTGCAGGGCTTTGCTTGTGAAAGTGAGGTGGCCCAGCTGAGTGTATGAGAAAGAGGATTTCAGTGTCAAGGAGTCTGAGTTCCAGAAAGCCCAGATTTGATTGTTGCAGAGTTGAAGAGCAGAGTCAAAACCCAGTCCAAGCTGAAATTGGGTGAGTTTATTGCCAGTGCATTTAGGTTCAATGATAGCCACAAAGTGAATATGTAAATCTGTGATGAGGAATTTTAATCTTGGGAGATTTAAGGGTATGCCTCTAATATTCCAAAAGAGGACATTCATTGTTGAAGGAGGGAGAAAGAATTGTGAGAAGAAGCCTTTTCAAGGAGCCTAGCTGATCTCCTTTTGGTTTCTAAATCCAATGTTCTGATTGATGTGTTTGGTTCCTTGTTGGCAGGTTTGGGACATTTTCTGGGAAAAGTTTCTCCTTCTGAGTGGTAGTGTTCATGTTGTGGGTTGGGTTGGTCTGCCTTATGGAGAAAACCTTTGAAAGTTTCATCTCTACCTTGTGCAAAGATGCGGAAAAGGTTATTAAAAATCTCCTCTTGAAAGTTGTTCTCGAATAGTTCCTGATCAGCAGGGAGAGAGGGTGGGGTGTTGGGAAGAGGATTAGGGATGAGAGAAAGGGACTGATTAGAGGGGGGTTGTGCTGGGATCTAGATGGGGGTGAAAGACTGGGCAAGAGGTGGGACGGTGAGAGGGGTGGCTTGATTGTGATTAATTGTTTGGTTGGATGGTTCAGATCTCAGGGTGTGAGTAGTGGACACTGGGATTGGGCTCAGGTTGTCAGAAGAAGGCATATGAGAAGTAGGCACTGGGGGGGCTGCAGAATTAGGTGTTGAGGTGGTATTCGTCAGGTTGTTGTTGTTGGTACTGACAGGCCTGTTGGCCTGTGGTTTAGTGGAGGGGGTAGGGACAGTGGGCTTTTTGGGTGGTAGCGGCTTGGAGGGATTGGTTTGTAGCTGTTTAGAGGAAGTATCACTGTGATGGGATTGTTGACTGGGAGAGGGTGTTTGGTTGCTGTTTGGCAGGGGAATCTTAGCCATTGGAGGAGAGAAGTG